AGAGAGAGAGAGAGAGAGGTAGAGATACAAACGTTGCTAGTCGCTTTGTCAATGTCCGATCTCGAAAAATCTGTCTTGTAAAATTTGAAAATTATCTTGTCTATCATTACACGAATAAAGGCAGTGTAATAATATCCAACTTCTATTTTGGCTTAGCGGCTTATTGATTATTAATATCGGGACTAATTTTACTAGTGTCTCATATTTCGATGATCAGTGAAATATTCGATATGCCAAGTAGAACGATGTACAACTTATAAGTGCCATTTTTTTGTCGATTTTTCAATTAATATTACAAGATACTTGTCAATTTTTATATTATTTTACAACGGTTTCGTGATTAGCAATTATTCTCTCCACTTTACATTAACAAATAAAATAATAAATCTTTGAGATGTATTTAATTTTTACAAACGTGTAGGAGATGAAAAGTAAATCTCATACAGTTGCAATAGGTTTGTTGCCACAGTGAATAATTGCGTACTATATAATTACGTATGTTCTTCTATCGCAAGCGTTTGCAAACGTGTATCGCAAACAACAGAAATTCCGTTTTCTTTACGTTCAAAGTGCACCAATTACGAGGCTGCTCTCGTCTCTTTCTGTCAAACAAAAAGAAGTGTTCGTTATTGTACGCGCGAAATAGATACGAAATGGTATAATTTTCGCGAGAAATTGTGCGAGAAATACGGAAAACGCTTGTTTTTCCGGCACCTTCTCATTAATACGCGCTCGCACGAATCAACAACACTCGCGCTTGCATCACCGATCAATTAATAATGTTCGTTGCAAACTAGAAGCGCAACCGGCGCGTTTAATAACCACGGCTTCCAATGTGGTTTTGCGTCCCGATAAACGACGAAATCGGAAATACACGTAACGCAAAGGGGTGACAGAGAAGCATGCTATCGTGAAATGAGCTCAGGTCGCACCCGATGTAACTTTGCGGTGCAGCGAATGAAAATTGTAGTGTTTGCACTTAACACTCGACAAAATAACCCATTATCTCTTTGCGATTGATTCAATTGATCCTGTTTCTTCTCTGGCGCAAAGTTATCTCTGGTTTCGCGCGATCTAATCCCAATTCACGGCAGACGGTAGGCAAGATGAATCTTTTTCTTTTACTATTTATTAATCCTCCAAGCGTCACTCGCATATCATTGTTACGGTAACGCGATCGATTGTCATCGTACAATATTATTATAGATGTATAAAATTTATATGTATTAAATATATGAGTATACATACACCTGTGCGTATGTATATTACAAAAATCGTCAAACGATCTGTGCGACTCGTCGCGGTAAGCGCGATCATGCGGGAGAATTATTGTTGCAATGATATCACGATTTTAATGACGATGATGTCTGATTTGTCAGAATGATCGCACGCGCCACGTCGGTTCGCGCGGACTCTTATTTTATATTTACCTATTCTTAAAAAAATATTAAAATTGTTTTTTGCAATGGCAATTTATTTTATTATTAACTTACCGGCTATGCTGGACTAACTCTTACTGCGACTATTATTGCGATTAAGGCACGAGTTTTCCTGAAAAGCTGAAGGATATCAAAAAATTTCGGCGACATGAGAAAATTTACGAAAGTATAACAAAAACACGTACTTAGTGACTACAATCAGTATTTTCGATAATCAAATATGATTTCTTGTTTGAAAAGTGCGCGATAGATGATGAATATTATCGCGTGAAAACTGTCGGTTGTATAATAAAGATTCTGCATGCAAGTTACAGAGCTCCGGAGTCAATTATGATGATCAATCTCCATCGCATATAGCACGGATAAGCGCTCAATATGGACGTAAGCCGGGGCTTTTCGTATGCACAGGTGTTTGCGGCGCGATTTACGCGACAGCTTTTCCCCCGGGCCAAGTTAACTTACGTTCGCTTATTACACGTCGTTCACGGGCCGCCAGACGAAGCCCTTACGTGCAACATTCATGCCGCGGTGGCAATATTCTAGTCTCGACGCGGCCCGTGCCGTAATGAGTCGGTGGCGAAATTACGTGATCGGTCCTCGTGGCGCGTTGCCGATATTGCTGGAGCGACAGCTGCTGCTCCTGCGCCCGCCGTAGCTGATATTGTTGTTGTCGCCCGGAGTGTCGATCTGAGAACATATCCTCCCGTTATCGAGTGTCAGCCTTGATTCACTATACGGAAGTGAGGAGTAACGCAATATGTTTGCAAAAAATGTTTGCACAGCTTTTTGCAAAATAATTGAGATATTATTTCATACAAATGTATTAATAGTTTCAATCACTCTAATCACTCTATTGTGTGACGCTTTAATCGGCCATAGGCCTTCGAGTAAACGAATCAGCTTATTTAACGTCGTAGACCATAATTGCTGAAATGTTTTCCTATAGATGCTTTTATACAAAATTGTTGCAAAAAAGCGACGGCAGAACAAGACGACAAAAGTGGCAAAGAAAAACTTCCCAAGTACCGCTAACGTCGTTAATCATGTGAAGTCAATCTACGTCAGATTAGCAAGATTGATTAGGTTCATTGAAAGCCTGATGCATTAAAGGGTACGGAAGGAGATCCAAAGTCTACTGTAGCGATAATCCGTGCTACTTGCCACGATGCTTTTGACAATGTCGTAATAGTGGCTTCTATATCAGATTTCCTTTGAACGAAGCATAGGCAAAACTTGGAATTTGCTTCTGGAAAGTTTCTCCAAGTAAAATAAATTTTCGACAAATACATTCAGTAATTTAATCTATAATGAGAATTTTAATTTCGTATTTTATTATTATTAGCATTATTATAGCACGAGCACGTGAAGACCTACAAACAGAAGACAACTTGACTTTATCTGCGGTAAGTGACTGTCGTCGTCCTGGAAAACACTTTGAGTTCGCATATTGTCATCGCCCTCTTTTCTCTTTTTGCTTTTTATTAATAAACGGTGACGCTAACGCGCTTAAGAAATTATCCCGCGTATGTAAATCACGCGGCAATGCCACAGAGACGGCTGTTCGAGGCGTTCATTAACTACTTTGTGGTTGTCCAACAGCATTTAGCTCTCGCTTCATTGTTACGTTATGTTTGCTTTCGTTATAAATTCCGCAGGCAAACGAGCGTTAAATTAATACTTAGTACAGTGATTACAATCTAATAGGATATAATATTAAAAGAGAAAAACATGGAAAAATATGGAGATACATTTTCAATTAACGCGTTATAAATTAAAACGACGATTCACCGATAATAAAAAAGCATTGAATTATCACATTACTATGCTCTTTGCTTCGACGTAAAAATATTAATCATTCGTCATGTAAATAGCTTTTAATAAGTTTTTAAAGTTCTTCGCTAAACTTTATTGTGCAAAATCAATCTTATATTATTTACGTCTGTACATAATGTTTGTTATTTTACAAAACCCACACGATTTGGCAATGATAATAACGCCAAAGGAAATATAAACATCGATAGCTATTGTATCTGTTCGCTCGCCAATTATTTCACGTTGTGTTTTGTTTTAATTACACCCGCTCTCAATTTAAACGAGTTTACATTGAAAATTCCCTGCGCTTGGCTAGGCACGCAACAGACTGTAATTGTAAATCGTTTTGCAATCGAGACTAATAATTGCATTATAACAATATAAATTTCAATTTCAATATTGCCGAAATGTGCATCATTTTAACGCGATATTGTCGACGTTCGAAAGTGACTCTTTGTGGATTAATTCGGGATTTCTTTCGACTTGAATTAATACATTCTGCAGCTCTTGAATCTCTTCGGGCGACAAAGGCATTTTCTGTTCCGATAGAATCGATATTGCGTCGGTGAGGCTCAAAGACGCTAAAGCGACGCTGTCTTTATCGCCGTGATCCAGCAGGCCCTGTTTCAGCATCTTAATATACCTCTTCAAGGCAGAATTCATCACGAGCCCTATTTTCGAGTCACGTCGCGGAAGTTTCAACTCCTCGTCGCGACTGTTCCCGTCGATATCCCTCTCGCGCGCTTTTGTCTCCTTGTTGCCGCTCCCACGCGGGGCCGACGACGCTTTCGCAGATTCGTCGCATCTCATTTTGTCGACCGCGTCATTTGATCGAGTATTCAATTTCGCGCCGTTTAATCCGCTTCTCGCCTCGAAATTTGCATCTCTCAGCGCCGGATGCGAGGCTGACGCGGATTTGCACCTCTGGAGAAGATTGTTCGCGCTGGCGGCTCTCGTTCGCAGATTCCGTACGATTTCCGGAACTTCCGACCGAGCGACGTTGTCGGTGTTATCAGATATCGCGTCATTTTTCGCCGCTTCCGCATTTTCTGCGCTCGCGATCGCTCGAGTTGCATCGCTCTCGGTCGCTTTCGCGTTCACTCGAGGATCGATCGGAAACGCGTGCTCCGCGAGTCTCTCGTCGTTGGGGATCGCGGATTTGTCAGTATCGTCAGCGAGGTTTAACACTTGGGCGGATAATTCAATTTTCGGGCTTAGCGGTGCACCTTTCGACGGATTCTTCTCCGCGCTCCTCAATCGTCGCCCGCAGCCGCGATTTAATCTTGCCGAGTTTTCCCGCTGATCCCGCACGGCCGATGGCTCGCAGCGCCTTTCCGGCGTATTCCCACGGAACGGCGGCTTCTTTCTCGCACCGCTGCTGCATCGGCTGCTCGTTAATCGCGATTCCTTCGTTGCCGCAGTTTGCGAAACTGCGACGCTCGCGGATGCGTCAGCGGAAGCGGCGGTCCGCGACGAACGCGTTTGATAAACTTGCGTCCGAGCTCGCGACGACAAAAACGACGCGTTGTCGGGCGTCCTCGAGATTACAGTTCTGTTCGCAGTTCGTATTCTCTCCTCGAACGAATCGTCAGGCGTCTTCAAAGTTCGACCCTTTTCGTTACTTTTTGCCGCGCCGTTCCCAACACTTTTTAATTTATCGCGCCGTTGACGCGACGACATCGCGAGGCTGCCTTCCCGCCGCTCAGTCGACATTTCGATAAGTTCTTTCTTCCGCGGTGCAATAAAATTCGTTGCCTTCCGCTCGGGCGACACTAGATTACGGCTTACGGACGCCAAAGAGGGCTCCTTCGAGCGTTCCCGATTCGAGACTGCCAATTTCGGCGACAAGGCGCTGCTCCCGCGCGCCGACATCGGTCTCGCAACTCTTGCGGAATTTCTCGTAATATTTCCGTACTTTCTGTTGAAGGAGGCACCGCGATTTCCCAACAGCCAAGGGGGACGCGACACACCACGATTCCTGGGGCTTATCGATGATTCGCGCGACACTCGGTCGTCCCGGCGCTTGCTGGAATCGCTGCGAACGCTCACAATCTCGCTGGAACTGGAAATAAAATTCGACTCGCCCTTCCTCCCTCTTCGACGTTCGTTCGGTAATTCAACGGGATATTCCTGCGATTTTTTCCTGAATGGCGATCTTGTCACTCGCTTCCTTTCCGGTAATGTAGTGACTTGGGATAACGCAATGTCCTTCGATGTCGTCGAAGCACTTCCGACACTCGCTGACCGACTTCTCGTCGTCCACGAAAGTTCCTGGCGCGTACTAGAATTGGCGGATGGGAGATAGTTGTTTTCCATGTTGTATCTAGACTTTGATTGATCGGGTTTACGGGATTGCGTCACGTTTTTATTCGATACTTCCAGTTTTGAATCTGAATCGCTCTTCACAATCGCGGAAGCGCCGCTATCTCCGAACGAAAGAATTTGCGCTGGTGAATGAACGCAAGGATTACCATTATTATCCATGCCGGATAGCTTTGAAAAATTGTTATTAACGACTGCCGGAGAGTAATTTTTCATATCTTCGCGATCCAGAGACTTCCAATGGATATTTTCGTTTGTGATTGTTTCTTTCTCGGTGGTCTTCGGTCTTCTCGCGCCTTTAGTCAAAAAATGATCCAGCGGGTGAAGACGCTCGTCTCTCTTCCGGCTCGTTGCCTTACTCGCGTCATAGTACTCCTCGACGAAGTCGAAAAGACTGTGATCGTATCGATCGTTCAGTCGCACGCCGATTACGGAGTCAGCCGAGTTCAGATGCAGGGAATTCAGAACGACATTGCCCGGCGGTTGAAAGTCGTCGTATTGCTTCCTCAGCGTGGCCTCGATCAGCTTGTGACGATACGCTTTGTAGTCGAGGTTCGATATATCGATTATCGGATGCTCCGAATCTGCGAAGGATAAGGAACGACGCAACGACGGACGTTTCCGTCTTTTCGGTCCATGATCTCCAATCTTCCCTTCCGTTCGATCCTCGTGTCGACTCGGGCTCTTCAGGATACTCGGACTGCTCTGTAGATTCGGCCTGGGATTGATCTTGAGATTTGACTCCTGATGCAGACTCGAACTCGATGTGGAATCGGTCGCAATTGAAGCCGGATAACGCATCACTAATGATTGATTGACGCGATGCCGACGAGAGGATGAAATGGTTCTCTTCGTGAAGGCTTTCAGCGGCTTGTCCTACACGTAACGATATTAAGTATTCCAAAAAAATATGCAGAGAAATTAACACGTTGAGCGTCGCGTTAAAATCGCTAACTGTTTAGAATTTTTGCTTTCAACTTTTTTTAATCAACAGTTCAGTTTTCAAAGACGATGCGTTTAAAACGCAAATATTTAACCGGAAATACAAAGCATTTATGCCGTTGTGTATACTAGCTTTTGAAATTAAATTTACTTCGAGATTTTTTAAAATTTAATTTTTTTGTTAATTATATTGCGTTCACTATATTAAATTAAAAAATTTTAATTTTTTTTATTTACTGTGTGTTTAATTTTCTTTTGTGACCCAGCAGTAGCCACGTTGGCTACAAAATAATTTTATATGCTAGAAAAAATAACCATCGGTGACCACATGGCGCTCAACGCGTTAAATATGAAATGTATACGTGTTGTTTTTGAAAAAGAGAAAATTTTTCGACAAACTACTTTAGTCTCATTTCAAATTTTCTTCATAATTGTATATGCTTTCATAGGAATGTAAATTGTCGGCAAAATTTTATCTCAAATTTTATCTCTCTTCTGACTTTATAATTTACGTAGCTTTATATAGCTGATTCTTCGATGGAATGGCGATTCCGCAATGCCACTATTGTGTTATAAACGCGAATGTTATATCGCAGTTTCGCCGAAAGAAATTGGAAAATTTACAGTCCAGCAACGCTTCCGCTCAAACACCGCGGAAGTGTGCGAGGTGTACAGTTATCGATGCACCAGTTTTAAAACGCGTTCCCGAACATTTTCGAGATAACGCATCGACAGTGCCGCTATGTCGCATGAATAAAAGCGGGGACGCAAGCTCTCTTTCGTTTTTGTTTGTGGAAGGAAGTGCTGCGTCGAGAAACGCGAATAAAAATATTATTTCATCGTAGCATTTTGTTCATACGAATCCCAATATGGCACGCGCGTATATCTACAAGACAAGTTAGAAAATAATTCATTGGAAGCACGTACGAGAAGATAGTAAAGGCGTGCGATCAACGGCGCCGCTAACAAGATCGTCAGGACTAAAGCGAAGGCGCTTTCGATCACGAAGGGTGCCGTCGACTGCATGTTTAAGACGAACTTCCCCGGTGCTAACACTTGGAACATTCCGATTACTTAGTCCTTGATTTCGTTGTGTTGCAAATCGTCCACGTGCTGTTTTATGTCAAACCGCCGATCGCGGACTGTGAATTCGCACGATCGATACCGTAGGATGCCATCAGCAGTATCTTTCATAATGGAACAATCGCAGACATTCACGGTTTGCTTCACTTTTTTCTCGATTTCTTTCTTTCGTGCCTTTATTCGGTTCGCTGATCAAACGAAATTATCGATTGCAATTTACGCTGATTTTGGCTTCTACATTCCATGACTTTTTGTGGTAAATATACAGAATAAATTAAATATTTTTTTCCAAAATTATTGTTAAAAAATAATATAAAAATATTTCTTTTAATATACCGACAGATTTCCAATTCCTTGAAAAAAAATCTTCTTTGGTTGGAAATTTATTTGTCATCGTTAGAAGAGCAACTTACCACATCCTCCACGCAGACCTGGCGCCGTCAGATTATGTATTTGGACCATTAAAAGAAGATTTGAGAGAACTGAACTGTGTAAAGGATGTGGTAAGAAGTTTTTCTAATGATAATGAGCTTACAATTGCGATGCATAGCTAGATAATTTCCATTAAAAGTTATTTTCGAGGAAGCGGAAAACTGTCAGACCGCTGAAAGAAATATATAATATAATTATGTAAAAAGGTAATCTATGAATCTCTATAGTAAATATTTACATCTTAACAATAACTTTTTGCGCGGAAAATTATTGATATTCGCTCTTGTGCATATTACTACCAAAACATATACACTTACAATCATCAATATTGTACATTCTGCCAATGCCTGGGCGACTCCGAGTTTGCTGAATAGGCGGAAGTTCGTGATAAGAAGTCCCAGCGTCCTGATAACCGTTCTGCCGATATTCCGGATGTCGCTGATAAGCTCCCGAGAAGATTCTGGTATATCTTAGGTAACAACCGCTCGGTATTTGCCACTGCAAACCGAGTTAGGATACTTTCCCGAATCTCATCCTCGCGTAATCGTGAAAGCTCTTGTCTACTTACGCTGTAAGAAGAGCTCGGCACGGGCTGGGGCGGTCTGCCGGGACACATCAGCATCTTTCTTCTGTAGAATCTCGGCTAAACGAGGAGATAAGTGCATTGAGCCGCCTCTCACATGAATTTCTCTTATGCTTTAACTTATGGGTATATCCTCGAAAAGGATCTTTCGGGCTTTCACGAAGACTCGCGCGCGACAAAACCGCTTCTCTTTAAACGCTTGTACCATAAAAGTTATTGATGCCTCTATATTTTCGTTACGAAGAAACCCTTTCAATTTACGACCGAGAATTGACGCGGCAAGATTTCATCTTGGCACTCGTACTCAGATTTAAGTGAAAGAGAACTCAAATGAAGAATGACTGGACAAGATTATGTATATTGATGTGTAATATTTGAAACAACGACGATTTCTCCCTCGATTACTCACCTCGGAATCCTGACGGTCCTCGGATTCTGCAAGTACACAAATATTCGATTAACCTTATTCTTGTATACAATAAATGTATTATGTTTCCAAGAAAAATGTGCGCGATCGTATTTTACATTGGAGAAAATTTACGGTGTCACGTTGCAACGTCGATCGGCTCTTCGCCGCGAAACCTTTTCGGTCTCTCGCGAACATACAATGGCATAAATTTACCTCTCACGTGTATCGAGAAATGGCATTCGGCTCGATTTCCGGCTGCATCCGAGGCGATGTAGCGCACGTTGTGAACGCCGGGATACATCACGTGTCCGGGGCCCTGCATGCGAGATATACGATAATTAACTTTTCGCGCGATTGCATGCAAATTTCCTTCGAGGAAAATATCCGTCGCATATGCGCGAAAGCATCGACCAATCTTGCCCGTAGCGGGCAGCTTTACGCCCCGCTAGAATTCAACACGATCCTAATTGATGAATGTTTTATTTTTTTCTACATGTTCAATTAAACGGCTACCATTTATTCGCGCGGCCCTCGTTTCAATTTGCCTAATCAGATCAAGCGTCAGGTTGCATAATGTCCAAAACCATTTATAACCCGCGCTATCGAGAACGCAAGCCACCAATTATCCATGCGCCAGTTATCGTGCAGACAGGGTAATCTCTGTTATTACGTTAATAAAGTACATGTACAACCCTTTTCACGGCAAAACGCCAGAAAAGTAAAAAGAAGAGAGAGAGGCGTTGGCCGACAATGATTAATCGTCCGGCTAGTTTTTCCTGCGGATACGCTCGCGAAGAAAATCGCGGATATCTTTCGCTGCATTGCAGTGTTTTCTCACGAGTCTCATTTTCTCGAAACACGAGTGGATAATTAATGAACGTTATCTTTGCTCGATTAATATGCCCGATTGTCAACGGCAAATGTTTAATTAACTTCAAGATTGCTGATAGGAAAGAAAGAACTTTCAGTTGCTTAAATCCACTTTGAACAATCTATAATTCGCTGCAGAATTCGAGGTGAAAATCTGTCTATTATTTTACGTAATAAAAAGCATTTGAAGAATCAATACAAAATACATATACCGCAGATATATATTTTGTACACGTGTAAATTCTGATTTTTCAAGCGCTTCCGGTGTTACATGGCACATGAAACGTTTCCACTTTCAATAAAAATTTAAATAAAATTTTAAATAAAAAATATTATAGATAGAATTTCCAAATTCTGTCACAAATTATAGATTGTCTAAAGTGGACTTTATATGTGATATTGCAATATAAATTTGTACACACTTACAAAAAGTTAAAAAAAAAAATTGAAGATCATACATATATAATGCTGCACCAGATAGCGAATGTCGATATGAAATGCGAATACAGGACTTTGACACATACCCTCGTTTTGTAAACATGCTCGACGCCGACGTTATCGGTGAACGTCGGTTCTTGCCAGAATATCAGTCGGCTTCGTTCTCCTGGGCTCAACCTGACTTCAAACGACGTAGGGCACATTGTAACTTTGGGATTCTCCGTATCTGAAAACGTAACGCCGAGCATCTTGATTATCAAGGACTGTTCCCGCGAGGACTCATCATGTCAGATTTCGCATAAAAATTGCAGAGTGAACGAAATGAAAATTAAATCCAGGAAGCGAAAGAAGCTGATATAGCCGACCGAATAAAAAAGGAGCGACATTTAGGCGGAATGAAGCGGTTATCGAGCCATTAAGAGTTTTGAAGGTGCCGCGGAATTTCCACTACTTTGTCCGATCGGCGCGAGTTTATTCTGCGTAATCGCATATCGACTACGGCGATGCGCAGGTATATTCCTTCTTCCAGCCACTGCGTTGCGGAAGGAACTTGCTTAAAGCGAGTTTCACGAACTTTCCGAATGAGTAATTAAGCGGGACGGAGACGGGATGGAGTGCACTTTGCCGTGGAAACTAAAGTTTACCGCATCGAGCCGATTCGAGTACCAACCGATTCCCATCCCGATCGATTGTCCTTCATACAAAAAAGTTTCCTCGGAAAAATAGATAAATTAAGTAAAAAGAACACTGATGAAAATATACTTTTGCGCAATTTTAAATTCATAACACACAAAATTATTTACATTGGCTTCCTATATCTCTTTATTCTCACTTGTTCATTTGAATTCTCTCGACAGATAATCGAAAATTAAAAGATTTCAAGATTAAAAGATTAAAGGATTAAAAAGGAGAGGATTAAAAGAAAAAAAATTTTACTTGCGGTGTTAAAATGTGTGAAGCAAATTTCTATTAATTTCACATTATATCGTTAAGTTGCGTCGGTGTAAAATTGAAGACGGATAAGAAATCCGAAAAACTTAAAACCAATCGTTTATATCGATTTGTTGTTTATAATGCGGCCACACTTATCAGCGCGATGATATTTGAACGTAAGAAAAAGGAGCTCACAGAATGCATTTTTCTTAAAGCAGATTTTATTCCTAGTTTCTTTTATATTGCGTAAGACTTACCGCGTACTCTTATCACGATCCTACAGGTGCTGGTGTAATTAGAGACCGGCGACCATGCCGTGAAGGTAACGATCGTCGTACCCGCCGGCAGATCCGCTTGCAACTGCTTTGCCCATGGGGGTGAGGCTTGTACGTATCTAAGAAAAAAAAAGGCACAGATAAAAGAAACAAGGACTTAGTGGTGTAACAGTGTATACCGGTGTGCCGTTTAAAGTGCACGTCGTTCAAATTAATAAAAAAGAAGGCAGAAATATCAAATGTTCACTACATTTCTAACGCTAATCTCGAAATAGATAATATTAAATTGTACCACGTGAAATTATCAAAACTTTATCAATTGATAACTAAACACAATTAGTAAAGTTTCAAAGATTATACCGAATTTTATAAAAATAGGATATATTATTTGATATCCTGTTGGGAGAAGAAATCATTAATGCACAGAGAAAATTTTATATCAAAAATTACTATGTACAGCGGTAACCGCAGACCATGACGTTTTTACTACGTTTTACACATAATGGCCATAATATTTAAACTTATAATTCCCCCTGTGGTTCGCGGCTGCTGCTGTATCATAGTAAGTTTTGATGTGAAATTTTCTCCGTGTACTAACGATGAATATTTTGATCAAGTAAAATTTTTTTCAAAGTGCAAAGTTTTTGTCTATGAAAACGGCGTTGCTCTGTGGCAAAACCTAACAGTTCGTCGTACATTTAAATGTAATTTTTACTTCTTTGCGCGTATAACGCGCTTCTTACCTCCACCAATTCATGTTGGACTTCGGTTGTGGGAAAGTTACACGTATCGTGTTCTGCCTAGCCGGTAGTTCGACGTCCATGTCCTGGGGGCAGCTCACGAACGGCCGTGGCGTGTCTGCGGTAATAAAGTCGATTGTAAAATTTCCGATACAAACCCGATTCTCCGCCGCACTGTAATACAACGTAAGAAATTACGTTGTCGCGCAATTCCCGTATCATCACGCCGCGTATACTTGAACTCTTAAGGCGCGTTATATTTCACGTCGGAAAATGTAGCGTCGAGTATAAAAACTTTATCGCGTTTCTTCTTATTTTACACTATGAATAATAATAACAACCGCTCACTGTCGTGCAAAGTCCCAGAAAGCCTTACTTTCAATGATAGACATTTTAATCAATTTGAAATTAAAATCTTATCTTTTTAATTAAAAGCCAGAGACACTCGTAGTTTATTAAATCCATCATTAAATTAATTGAAAATCCAAAAACACTTTGCGTAAAATTTGGTAAAATTCTACGTGAAATATAAGAATATATTCTTACAAAGAATAAGCCAAGGAAATTTTTCCACTCTGTTTATTGTAAAATCAACTGATTTGTGCAAAATGCCGAACTAGTCAATTTTGTTTTCGAAGGAAACATATGACTGTAATAAATTCAACTGTATTGTTTCGTCTCTTCAGTTAACCTGTTTTCGCATTTTTCGCATACATTAGTTGATTTCGTAATAAACAGAGAGGAAAATTCCTTGGCCCTGTTCCGCAGTGTTTTTACATTTTAAATATAGACTTTCATACAGAATGTAAGGTGTTTCAAGATATCCAAACTTAACTTAACGATGATTTTAACAAACAGAGGAAAAATGTCTCGGCGATCTTAATTAAAAAAATAATCTCAATTCCAATTTGATTAAAATGTCCATCATTGGAATTGCTTAAAAGACATCGCTGTAAAAGAAGACGATTTAAATATTCCGTTTCAAAAATTGATCCCCGAGTATTAGCGGGTATACGTGTCCGCAAGAACCGAAATGAACGTAGAATCAAAATCTCTTTTCCATTAAACGAAACAATTAGCGCGGCGAAAAAGAATCGCGAAAATGTGCGCGAGCATGAAAAAGCGGGCAAAGGGTAAAACGAGCGCTAGGAAAAGAGCGGAACGTAAAAAGCCGCCGGTCCGCGTAAGCTCGTTAAGGGGCGGCGTTAACGTATGATCTCGTTAGCAGGCAGCCTCTACACGGGAACTTTGTAATATTAAAAGCCGCTCCGAGCTGCATGACTAATTTAACGCGTTCGAGAATTTTCGCCGTTAAATTATTTGGTACGGATCGGCAATGTTTCACGTTCGATCGCGCGCCGAACGTTTCGTTCGTATAGATCGGGAAGAACAATGTTTCATCGCTTACCGTTCTACTTATGTTCACTAACGTTTTTCTAAAAAGAACAGCGTACGTATGTAAGCCCCAGGAAAAATATTGCAGACGCTATTCGATAAAACCGTTGCGGGAAATAAATCTTGACTTAAAAATAACAATGGCAAACAAGCGAAATTTTTGTCAAAATAATAAATAATTGATAAAATAGGAGTATAAACGGCCTGTATTAAAGTGCCGTCTGATGCAAGGGTCAGGTTGTTAAAAATTTTATCCGATAAACGTTTTGATTAATTTTTCCACAAAGTTGCGACGTATACAGCGCCTGCAGCGTTTTTCCCTGTTGCCATAGAAGCGAGGAACGAGTTACTTGGATTGTAAAGGGAGTCTGTCACAACTTCGCGCAGACAGATAGGCTCTCTGCCGTTCCATCGGCCTCCGCTAACACAATGTCTCGTGTGTGCTCCTTCCAGTCGAAATCCTCTGCGACATCGTACGTGACACTTGGCACCCTGCGGGTAGACGGATGCGCCGGAAGGATGACCCGGACATCTGATCTGCTCGATTAGTCGCAGAAAACATCGGGTGAATAATACAGTTCAGAGAGCAAACTTTAACTTACACTCTAGCACGGTTATTCCGCATCAGTTCGGTGTTGATGTAATATTTTATATGTGTATATATTTACTTTACTTCGAAGACTTTTTTGTTAAAAAAAAATGTTCCATTTTGATAAGCGTGTATATTTCTGTTAAATTTTGTGTCAAGCTGCGAGCAAGTTTTCACAGAAACTTTTAAAATGTTAAGAAAACTCAACACAAACTTTAGTACCGACACGCTTCTCGTGAATCGAGATATTTCGGTTTATTGATTCGCTTTGCATCTAATATAGTTTATGACATCTACACAATAGTTTGCACCTCTCCGTGTAAAGGCGGTTCCATGGCGCGACATCTCGACGTCGGTGAGATGCAGGTTCTCTCGTCGGGTGCCAACACTAAATCCTCGCTACAAGCGCAGTAGTAACTTCCGGCGGTGTTAATGCACTCGCCAGCGCAACCGCCGTTTCGGCTTAAACACTCATTCACGTCTTGACACTGCTCTCTGCTTATGCAATCCCACACAGAGAGTGGAAAATGTATTAGAATAGTAATTATAATTGTAACAATGTTCGTTATTTGCATCTTACCTTGAAATTAACGCGTATCCGGCATGACAGGCGCAAGTGAAAGATCCAACAGTATTGATGCACTCTTGATCGCATCTGTCGCGATGCTGTTCGCACTCATCGATATCTAGCCATACGTTGAATTGTCGAAATTAATATCATAAAAATATATAGAGCGTGTGAACAATAAATTGTTTTGTGACGTGTGAAGCAAAGTGCGCGTTGCAACTTGCCTACGCATTCGTCGCCTTGCAGTCGAAAGCCGGGAAGGCACGTGCAATAATATGAACCGGGTGTGTTGACGCACCGCTCGCTGCAAGGCGCCTTCTCGGTGCATTCATCGACGTCTGTGCAAAAACAAGCTCAGTTCAGTACGATTAAGCGACGATCGTTTCTTTCTTTCCGAAAACGTTTCGCTTCACGAACCTACACAGGTATCACCGTGGAATCGATATCCCGCCTCGCACTCGCAACGATAACCGCCTGGCACGTTGGTGCATTTGTTGCCCTTGCAGACACCGGCTGCGCATTCGTCGACGTCTGAAAAGCATACACACACGTCGCTTGCGTGAAAACTTCCGCTACGCTAAGCGAGTAAGTCTAACTTTGTAGCGAGCTTCGAAACTAGAACACGAGCAAGCGGCGAAACCGTGTAGCAAAGAGTCGCGCGTTAACCCCGGATTTTCCGGATGTGATGATACCATCTTTAGAAATTTAACCACAAATGTAAAGTTTAAGAAACAATTCATAAACATGAGTTGTCTGAATAATCTTTTCTTCTTATTATTTTCATAAGAAACTTAATATCTTGCTATCTTTACAAAAAAAAAGGAAATAAACTTCCAGTTGAAAGACAACTCAAATCAAGCCGCTGCTGTTAGAGCGAATAAATTTATTATTCTTTACATCTTATTGTTAGCACATACAGAGTATCCCAAAACCATTGTAACTTCGATATTTTGGTGTAAAGTCGTCTCCAAATGACATCAGAAATTTGTTATTAATGAATGATGCGGCTGGAACACTCTGTATAATAAACTAGTGTTTTAATAATAATTTTTTTTATTCGTAGTTTCATTTAACTTTACTCACCGACGCAAGTAGAATTCACCATTTGAAATCCCTCCTTGCACCTGCATTCGTACGAGCCCGGATTATTGACGCAAATATGATCGCAATCGTGTTGTCCTTCGCACTCGTCGATATCGCGGCATTTCGTACGATCAACCTCGTCTCCTCGGAAACCTTCCTTGCATGAGCACACCGCCGTACCATACTCCGTAACGCAAATCTGCTCGCAGCCGCCGTTACGGTCCGAACAAGGATCGGACGGTCGACAGGATCCATTCGAGAATTTGTAATCCAGCGGACACTCGCAGCGGAAGGATCCCACGGTGTTGACACACCACGCGTGAGAACAAATGCCGTTGTTCTCGCATTCGTCGACATCGTCGCAGCTTTTGCGATTCGATGCCAATTGATAACCCGACGAGCATTCGCAACGATAATCGCCCTCGACGTTCACGCAGCGTTCGGCGCATCCGCCGTTCGCGAACGCGCACTCGTCGATGTCGACGCAAGTTTTCTCGTCTTGCGTCAGCTCGTAGCCCGTCGGACAGGAGCAGAAGTGGCCGCCGATGGTGTTTGTGCAGATGTGAGAGCATTCGCCGTTGTTCTCCCGACACTCGTCAATGTCCAGGCAGGTGGACTTGTCGGAATGCAAATAATGTCCCTCATAGCAGGCGCACACATAATTGCCTAGCAGGTTCACACAGTCGTGCGAGCAATTGTGCCTACTGGTCAGACACTCGTCCACATCCACGCAGTTTCTCCTGTCGTCCGGCATCAGAATGTAGCCGGAGGGGCATTCGCAGTGATAACCGCCCTCGGTATTTACGCACGTGTGCGAACAGCCGGAGTCCACGTCGTTCTCAAATTCCTCGCACTCGTCGATATCCTCGCAAGTCCGACGATCGCGTCTCAGGCGGAAGCCGAGCGGACAGGAGCAGCGAATGCCCGGATCTCCGTCGGCGCTCTCCTCCCGATGACAGTGATGTGAGCAATTGCCGTTATCGCGCTTGCAGCCGTCCACTAGAACGCAGGTTCGGTTGTTACGCTCTAGGGCGTATCCGGTCGGACACAGACACTTGAAGGAGCCCACCAGGTTCGTGCAAGAATGCGAGCATCCCGCGTTCTCAGTCTCGCATTCGTCGACGTCGTCGCAAAAGGCTGAATCCTGAGGGTTTCGCGAAAAACCGGCATTGCAACTGCAATCGAAACCGCCGGGAGTGTTCAAACATTGATGAGTGCAATTATCTCGCAGTTCCAGGCATTCGTCAATATCCACGCATGTGATGTTGTTCTGCGGGGATAAACGATAACCGTCAGGACACTCGCAAAGTCTCCGGTCCTCCGACAGGATCATACCGGATGGACAGGCGCAAGTTACGTTTTCATCTTCGTAAGAACACAGATGGGAACAGCCGCCGTTATCTTCGTTCAGACACTCGTTCTCGTGCATACACACTACTTCGTCTTCGGTCAGGATCATCCCGGGTGGACAGGAACAGGACGCTCGGCCGTTGTCATGTTGACAGAAATGCGAACACCCTCCGTTATCAATAGAGCACGCATTTATTTCGACGCACGTTTTGCCGTCGTCTTTCAACAGCTTGTAATTATCAGGACACGCGCACTCGACGCTGCCTTCCGTGTTTGCACAGAGATGTGAGCAACCCCCGTTATCCTCAATACATTCGTTGATGTCTTCGCACGTCTTGCCGTCCTCGCCGATTCGATATCCTGCCGGACAGACGCACTCGAAAGTGCCATTTTGATTCACACAATTGTAGGAGCAAGGATTGTCCAGCTTGGCGCATTCGTCCACGTCCTCGCAAATTCTCTCGTCGTCGTGCAACTTGTATCCTTTCGGGCAACTGCAACGAATCTGGCCATCATTCTGCTCACACATATGCGAACAACCGTAATTCTCGACGCAAAAGCCATTCGAGGGCTGACAGTTTCTGGAGTCCTCCTGCAGATGCCAGCCAGAAGGACACTCACAATGGTAAGAGCCGTTAGTGTTGATACAATTGTGCGAACAGTTATGGTCGTCCTGGCACTCATCGATATTTATGCAAACACGCTCTTCTTGCGAATAACTGTATCCCGCGAGACAAGTACAATTATTATCTTCCTTTGCGCATTCGTCCTTCGCGATACACGTACGATTATCTTCTCCAAGCTCGAACCCCGTCGGACAGAAACATAAATAGGATCCTTCAAGATTTCTGCAATCGTGGCTACAATCGTGCTCGTCGATGAGACATTCATCGACATCTTGACAAGTTCTCTCGTCTTCCTGTAGGATGTATCCTTTTTGACAGATACATCTATAGGTATCCCGATCTCTCTCGCAAATTTGACTACAATTCGCGGTTTTACACGTGTCGGAAGGAATGCAGTTTCTTCCGATATCATCCAAGAACATATCGTCGGGACACTCGCATTTGTAAGATCCAACCAGATTCGCGCAATCGTGGGAGCATCCGTGCGAGTCTTCCGCGCACTCGTCCACGTCGATGCACGTGCGTGCGTCCTGAAGAATTCGATATCCTTTCGTGCAAGAGCATCGCGGTCCGTTCTCAGTGTTCTCGCAGGCGTGAGAACAAAGATCCGCCAAAAAGGTGCAATCCTCCGCGCAAGTCGCATTGTCGTCTGTCAAGATGAGTCCCGGAGGACACGCGCACACATATGTACCGTCTGTGTTGTGACAGATGTGGGAACAAGGTCGAGACGGCTTGTTGCATTCGTTCACGTCTTTACACGTTGTACCGTCTTCCTCGAGCTCGTAACCGGTACGACAAGCACAGTGATAGCCGCCCGGTTCGTTTACGCACTCGTGCTGACAGCCGTGCGATTCATTCTCGATACACTCGTTTATATCTAAAGAGATATGTTAGTGAAATCATTTTATGTTACGATTACAATACTCTCTGCACATCTTTTTTCACAATAATACAATTTTCTCTTCAAAGACGCAACTCTATTAGTTCAATATTATTCATTTTAAACATCTGCACAAAATCTACACATATAATTCTCTAGTTTAAAAATTATTTAATTTGTTAAAACTCAATTTTAAAACTTACATTACACAGTTTATAGTATTGTAACTTTCTGCATAATCCGACTCTATTTATTTAATATTTTAGAATAAAATAAAAAATACGTTGTTTTTAAGTTTCAACAACTTTCAGTATATTTAAGTTTATTCAACCAAAACTTATAACTATTAGCTTACCAACGCACTCAAAATTTTCGTTTCTCTTGAAGCCATCCTCGCATCTCAAATTCTGTTGTGATTCCGTAATCTCTTCTCCGTAATCACCGTCGTCATCCTCGTTATCATCTTCACTATCGTAATCTTTTTCTCGAAAGATCTTTGTTTCTGGATGCATTTTACTAATGCACTTGTAAGACCCCACTGTATTCTCGCACTCAGTGTTCTCCTCGCAAACTTTCGGCGTTACTTCGCATTCATTAATATCTAGAAGAAAGCAATAATTCAGACTTTATAATGTTCGCTTTTATAATTGAAACTGTAATGAAATGAGAGAGAGAGAGAGGTTTTAAATAATTAACCGTAAAATCGGTAAAATTAATCGATCTAAATTATAAAGTAGATTTTATATCTAATTAGAATTCACAGAACGACCGTGTTGCAAATTAAATTTTTAGATATTTTATTCAGTATTTCGTATAAAATAAAAAATAGCTAGAAAATGGAAATTATTGGATTGAAACTAACGTATTCGTACCTTGACAGGTCTTCCAATCGTCGGTCAGATAAAAACCGTCCGGACAGAGGCAGAAAACACTTCCGGGTGTGTTCAAGCACAGATGAGAGCAGTTCGCGTTGTCTAGTGCACACTCGTCGATATCCTGGCAAGTGTGATTGTCAGCAGCTAATTTATATCCAGAAAGGTCCGCGCAACTGCACTTGTAACTACCTTCGAGATTGTGGCAAGTGCCTTGGCAAGGGCCGTGTCCATTGTTCCAGAGGCACTCGTTGACATCTGAGAATGAGTAATGTATCGTAGTTTTCGACACAAAAGCCCGTTTATCAAGTACAGTTTTTGCCGATAGGGATTGCTTTTAAATTATATTGTGCAAAATTATATTGAATAAATTCAAGCATAATAAGAGAGTAAATTGCACTTTAAGTAGCTACAATAAATTTTAAATAATAATATGTAAATTTTAAAAAATATTTATTAAAACTCACCTTCACAAGAATGACCGTCAGTTGCCAACTGAAAACCATGATGACATTCGCAAGAATAAGAGCCGACTTTATTGGCGCAAATATCGGTGCATTTCGCTGTGCCTTCGACACACTCGTCAATATCTGAAAAATATCAGGAAAAAGAAATTAGTTACCAATATATTATTTACCAATAGAAGTTCGCTTCGTTATCAGATATTTTATTAACATTAATTTTTTAAAATTTACATATTTTTCTTTTTTTAGATAAAATAATGGTGTTGCATAAAAAATTACATAATTAATTTACGTGTTTTGCTGAGTAAAATAAAGTAATGATAATTCTTCAAAATATTTATATATACTCACTTTATATGGCTATTTCTTACTATATTATTGAGTTGCAGCGAAGGATTTAATGGCAATAATCGAGTATTATTGACACGTTGGAAAATCGCGCATTGTGGAGTTACATTACACGTGTATCGAGCAATCGTCGAACTACAAATGTACGATCTGCAAATATGTTGCATATTACGGTCAGGGCAAAAGCAGAAAACCGGCAAATGCGAGAAAATGTCCGAGTCGATAACGGCTTTTAAACTCGATATTGGACGATATCACGCAACAATATGCGCAATCCGATTCTTAAATAATCCGATACATGCCAATCGTGCAAAATCGATAATTCTATTATTAAGGCATTTACTCGAATATTTGTTTTTAAAAACGATAAAGTCATACAACCTATATTATATTTCCGTTATTATTTTCATGCGATAACATTACCTTCGTGTTTGGAAATAAAATAAATTTGTGTACGGTAGATGCAAAATTGGCATATCGAAAAGAAACATCGAAAGCGGCAGGCGAATCCAACGACAATGAATCAATACGAACGTATAGCCAATACAAAGAATACACGCGACTTTCGGTGAGAATTTTGTCGGAAGTATCAAGTGTCGAAATGTGAGTTTGGCTTTTCCTCAAAAAATATAAAAATGTGTATAAGTTTATATGTGTTAGTACCACAACTGTGGCATATGTGGATTACCTATACAAGAAGATCCTTTAGCCCGAAATCCATCGAAGCAGGAACACTTTATGCCGGTTGGTATATCCTCGCACACTTGCTCGCATTCACGTGTATCCTGGTCGCAACGTTTCACCTTATCGATCGGCGGTTCTAAGGCAATAAACATATTTAATAACAAATACATTATTATTTTACGAGATCCAATTCTTTTACGTGCTTATCGAGCAATCATTTTTATTGAAATTTTCGGATCATTCTCTTTTGACACAAAAAAAAAATACAAGTTGCTTCTTTTTATCGTGTTGCGTGATTATTACATCGATAAAGAGAGATTTATTATACTGAAAATATACTGACGATGAAAATCTGACTTACGATTTTCTTTCACGCATTTCGGACGTGGCCCAAGCCAAGTGTAATTGCTGCAGAAAAGCCTGTCTGTCGTCGAATCGACGAAAGCGTAACTATCCTCGCACTCGTAAATCGCAACGAGATATCGATTGTAGGGTGGCAGTATATTCTTCCTTCTATAAAACAGTACGCTCTTTCATTACAAGTCTTTCTAAATAGCATGTATAATTTTATTTTTCTAAAAACGATAGACTAGTGACTATAAAAGAAATATTGCAAAAGTGGAATAATAGTCGACATTAATAAATAGAATTTAGAAAGTCAGTTCTTTAATAAAATTTCTTTTAATAAAATTGGTCTTTTCATCTTGAAACATATTTAATCTTCTTTCGTCCGAATCTATTCAACTCAAAAAAATTTTCTTTTCTTACTAATAACTTATTGAAAAGTTTACCTCTATGATATTTATTATACTTGAAGGTTTAATCTGGACTGTCTTAATGAACGTAACGGACCTAGCGTATTTGGCAGGAGAAGTGTGTTCGATTAAAGGGGCCTTAATGAGTCCCTTTCCGAGAGCCTTCGCGAAGCAGCTGATATCCAGCTCGGACACCACAGTTTCATTTAATCTTGTTGTCAGTAGTTTTGACAAGATTAAGGTAGATTTTCCCCGCGCCAACTTTCTCCTCTTCTTTTTCTTCTTCTTGCTCTCCTTAGTTTTTCTGTGGTTTTTTAACTTGTCTATCCTCTCCACCGCCAATTTCTCCTCGTACGGAATGATTGGTTGATCGCCAAGATAAAGATCAATACGATCTGGTCGAAATAACTCTGCACAGTGAACACAACGTAACGTGTCAGTTTCTTATCTCGTCAATATACATTATAAATTAATAAAGTCGCTTATTGTTTTTTTCATTTATTGTTAATAATTGATAAATGCGAATATATTCGCTCATTAACGTAAAATCATCAGCGCGTTGCGCGCTTATTGTGCTGACAAATAAAATATTCATTTTGTGACTATAATTAAAGGAATTTTAATTAAATTTTCTCGTCGCTCATACGTATTCACCGAATGAGTTTCAAATAGAATTGCTTTACCGAGCAAAAATGTTTCTAGAGATATTCGAGCATAGCGTTATCATGGTGAATACGAGGATTAATCTCATCGGATATATATATGTATATGTATATATACGATGGTCCAACGCCAGGTGGATACATCTTTTACCGCGCAGATGAGATTGCCATCAAATAATGAATCTTTCACATGCGTACTTGTATTATTTGAATAATGTACGCGTGAAGCGGTAGAACATATGTTATTTACATTCAACATAAAATATTAGTTTTTAAGAAGCGTAGTTGGCACAAAAAGTCCACACACTGTTTTTATTTCATAGAGCTCTTCAGCTCATTTAAATCTAAATAAAATAAAATGGCAATTTTTTTATTTTTTGGACAATCACGTCATTACTTTTTTGTCATCTTCACACTTTACGTTCCATACCGTTCTCGAGTAATTTATAGGCATTCGCGTGTCTAATTGAATAAACGCAAACTTGCGCACGCAAGCTCCTCTCTCGCTCACCATCAAATACATCGTGCATCCTGACCAAAGCTAAATCCAAAGGGAGGAAGGGACGTACAACGTCCATGTGGTGTATGACTTGGCGGCTTATCTCCATCGAGGCGAATGCAAGCTATGCCATGTCGGCGAATTTCGTGCCGCCGATAGCACGCGCGATGGAACGAGGCGCGTTCCTGAAGCACCGAAACGCCACTCCGCGAATTTTCCCCGTCCCGGAATCCCGGCCGTTGCTGGTCAACGTTCTGAACGGCAAGGAGAGAACACCCGTTCGCGATCAGCGATCCCAATTTGCTATTAAATATACCAATAATATCGACCTGATATTTAAATATACAGAAAAGAAATTGTTTTGTAATATCTGGATATTTAGATCGATAAAAGTTTCCTGCTCAGATCGCTACAAGTTCAGTCGTTGCCTTTTTCGCTTTTTAATTAAAAGAGAAATTCTCTATTTGACCCTAAAGCTTCAAAGGGTAGCGCGAGGAATAAGAGACATATATTCGAAGTCGGGAACGGTGCCAACTCTCGGCCTAAGATATGCCGATAACTTGAGCATCGGTGAAAATTGAATCCCACGGTGAAGTCGTGTTTCCACAAATCATGGGAATGGGCGCCTTGGGTAAATTGTTCTTCAAAACTTTCGCAACTTTTTGACATATCGTTCATAAAACTGCGATTTTTAAAATAATTTCAATTCTAAGTTATACGATTAGAGTTGGAGATTGACGTGACACCAAATTGATCGGACGGTATATGCATTCTATTGTTTTAAAGAATCATATCTAAATTATATAATTCTATACACTATTAAAAAACGAAAAACATTGCTTTCTTTTACACATGTTAAAATTTGCATTTATTTCTGGACCACGGAATAAGATTGTGAGCGATAAAACGAATCTCTTGACTATCTGTATCTATCGATCGGAAGCTCAATCGAATGCGTAAGTAAACCGCATTACGGCATTAAGAGCGAGTTTGGTACCACGAGTCCCTTTATTCGACAGCTCGATGTCTCGTGGTAAACGGATTTGTCCGTCAGTCTATTGAACACGTGCGTCGAGGCGGTTTTAGCCGCCAGGCACGAGGAGTTAGGCTCCCTTTCATGTGGATAATTGACTTACGTCGATCAAATTAGAATAATGCCGCATAGCCATGGACTCGTGGCGACATTATACGGTACAGTGATACACACAAATCGATGATTCACGCGGATTTTAATCCAAGAGTAATGCAAAAAGCTTCATTGAGCCCATTACTAAATCTGTAATTCGCGACAAAATTTGAAATAGAAATCTATCTTGCTATATTACACATATTAAAAGAATTATAAATAGAATTCTATTCTATTTTAACGTTTAATCCTATTTCTAGTTTAACCGCAAAAGCATGTAAAATAGGCTTCAAAGAATGATTGGCAGTTAATTCGTCAGAGAATATTAGACCAAAATTTTTAGAATTATAAATAACATTCTAATCGAATTTTGTTGTAAAATATAGCTTATCTGAAGCAAGTGTGTTTGAGTAAAATATATGAAATAAATATCGATTGATTGCTTTTTTTCAACACTATTGCAAAAATAATACATATTAATATGAGTAACTTATTAATGGTACTGTTGGTGTATCGCAACTATCGACAATACAGTATACACATATTTCAATGCAATAAATAATCATTAAGTTTACGATCACTCATGGCTTACAGAAGAAGATGACAAATATGTTCCACGAATGAAGGAATGTCAACTGCGCTCATGGAGATTGATGTAGATTCGTTATCCGCGCTTAATTAATCCCACGAGAGAACTCAAGTGGAGTGCAAACGTACGTTTCGCGCAGCAATTTTGCAGTGAAAAACATACGTGGTTTACTTAGAATAAAAGTAAATTAGAATAAATACATTACCGCGAGGCACGCATTTCGGAACAGGATGATTCCAACGGTCGCCGATGCAGATCGCTAACCTGCGACCTTTGACTTTACGGCTTGGTTCGCATGAGTACATAATCTGCAGAGTACCATCTTCAAGAATCTGCTTTCTCACCGTTCCCCATTGCGGTGGCTGCACCTCGGGACAATTGCCGAGGATTCCTGAAAGCAAGGAAAGCGGATTTTACGACCGTATCGCAGCTGAAAAGCTGTGACGACAAATTCTCGTCAGAGTCGAATCGATGACCTGACGATAATTTGGCACTACTGAACCGCTTAATGCATTTCTCAAAGTGCGGTAAATAATATTTAATTGTGTCTACTTTTCTTTTATATCTAAATTAAACTTACGAACTACAATGTGTGATTAGATCTCCTTGTATTTATATCTTCACACATATACATGTATACATAATTTATTATCGTATGATTGTGCCATATATGTGAGCACCATATATCGTATATGTACTCTGACAATGCGCATATTCTGACAGTAAGTACTGCCACGAGAAAAAGGAAAAGACGTATGTCAAGCACATGGGAGATCTTGCGGTTGCGCAAGCACAGTGACGTGGGATTAAAATTGAATAATTCCACAGTAACATAATATACGGTCGCTTCGTGACGTCCAGTGTGCGGTGCGCTTCTGCCGCAAAAATTTTACCGTAGAGCCGCATGGTGATGCGATGGTCGTCAACGAGGCGAACGGCGGACGGTGTAAAATCCTCTTCGCGTCTCCCCGGGATGTGAGTCGCGAAACCGAATGACTTTCGTTTCGTTTTGTTTCGTGAGGTGTATATATATAAAGTGCCTCAAAGCTATCGAAAATATTTTACATATTTCCGACGAATTTAGAGTTTACTTTTTCTTTAAAAAAATTGTTATTTGCACATATAAATTACATGAAAATATTTTACATTATTGTACTAAAGAATTTTCACTGAATACAAATGAATGAGAGCGGTTTTGTTTTGCTACAGTCTAACAAAATTATTAAGACTTATTTGCTAAAAAAATTTACATTAAAAATTAAAAATTTTTTCCAAAAAATAATTGAATAATTCTTTCAAAAAATTAAATTTAAAACTCTTTTTAATCACTTCGCAATATCGTATATCTTTTATGAAGTCTATCGACCCGTGATAAGACAGCCAGTAGAAAACTTTGAGCATTGTGGTCTATCTGTCTCTCGCTATTGTAAAGAGCATCGTAAATTGTCGTAAATATATTGCTGTGGCACACATTGCATTAAAATACTAATTTTCTTTTATACAAAGTGTTTCAGGGTTAAATGTCCTAACTTAAAATATGAATTTAGGACCTCGATAAATTTTCATAGTTCCTCTAGAAATATGCAAACGTTTTGTTTAAGAAATAATGTTCTTTAAACATTTTAATATATAATTTTGTAAAACATCTTGTATATTTACATTACTGTATAAAAGAATTTTCGCCGAATAACAGCGGTTTCGTTTTGCTGCAGTCTAACAAAATTATTAAAACTTATTTGCTAAAAAAATTTACATTAAAAATTAGAAATTTAAGTCCGCTTTATTTAAAAATAGCGATGTTCAATACGGAAAGTCAAATTTTAATTAAACGACCAAAAATTTTACTTTAAAAGTTTAAATTTATATTGAGTAAATTAAATAGTTCCATTTTATTTTTTATCCTACTTAAATACAACTGGATATATCATTAATTATCCTTATTTAATTAAATATAGATTGCAAATTCCGTTTCCGTAGTATGTTAAAATATTCAAAGTGTAATATTCGCCTCGGATCCAACGTGTTAAATTGCACGAGAAATGTAGCGCTGTCGAAACGTCGACTTTGCAGGATTACAAGACGTGACGCAGCTTTCCATGGGATTAATGAAGAATTAAACGCTTAATTAAAGTAACTTGCGGACCTCAATTTATGTAATTGACTAGTGTGGCAAGTGAGCCAGTTTTCCTCTCACGCGCATGGGAATGGGAATTATTCGAGTTACTTGAGATTATTGGATTATTTCTGATTTGCATAGATCAGTAAATCAAGGCTACGAAACCAAAAGGATCATTCAGCGAATATCTATCCTCGAAAACCAAGTCAAAGTTTATTTATTTCTACCTTCAACTGCAATCTTCTACTTTTGGAAGCGATACAACTGCAAAGCAAATAAACGATACTGGAACGATACTTTGAGATAAGAACGCAGTGACAAAATATAATTTGTTGTTTTTATTCGTATCAAAATTAACACATATAGTTGACACAGACATACATTGATAGCCGCGGGACAGAAATGAAAAGCTACGAGCTATGTGTCACAATTTACGTTTCAATTCTTTCTTTCGTTTACTTCATATATTCTTTTTTGTTGATTCACAATGACTTATAGTCTGGCGAAATATTGATCTTTTCTCCTGAAACGGCCTGTACAGTCTGTACTTCTTTCGAGTAGCTCTCAATACGCGTATGTGCAAACGAGGCGCGATCAATGATCTCGACTCCTCCGGTGTCAACGACTTTGACAGCGCGCCGCACGAAGTAAAGGACGGTTAGTCACGCGCGTCCATTAAAGCCCCTCATGATCGAAATCACAGATTTGATATGTCTCCTTCTTAACGATATATCCATGTAACGATCCCACCCACTGACCGTCTCGTCATGCTGCTCGAACACAATCGTTGCGGATGTTGGGAGAAAAAGAATGTCTATCGAGACGTTCCGATGTAGGTACGCGCGCCGGATATACTTGAATAGAGAATTGACACGACGTCATTAACGTTTTATCAGATGCACATTTATTTATAGTTCCTTGTGAACTGTAAGTGCAACTAGAACAAGTGCTCTTAGAACAAGTACACTAAACGTCAAGAGTACGTTATCGCATAAAGAAATTTTGTTTTGTATTCAGTTTTAAATTGAATAACCAACTTTTTAACTAGCTAACAAGCTATTTAGAATAGGAGAATAGAGTTCTCCTTTTTTTAATCATATCATATTTGGATCTTATACGATCCAAAATAAATATCCAAACACAATTTATTCAATCCAAAAATATCCAACAGGAAGTGCAGCACTCATAACGCGCCGTGTGTATTAGATACAAAAAAAGTCTAAAAAAAACTTTCTTAAAACATTAAAAAATTAACTACGCCATTTTTCGAGCAGCTTGCAAATGCCGTGATAAAAATTTAAAGGCTTTGAGACAATAAAAATAAAAATTTAGTCAGTCGGAAAGAATTGATTTCCACATTTAATGAAAAAATGTAAAAGCACATTTTATAATTCATATAAACAATCTTGTTTTTTATTGCAAAGTTTTAAATATGAAATTTTCCTTGCAAATATTATCGTGCGTGTGTATAGAATTATAAAATTCGCAATCTGTGTTTTTTCACAATTTCTATAATTCTTATAACAGAGTAAATATTTTAATTTCAACTCTCTGTGTATGTTCTTATAATATCTTTTTATTTATATTTGTCGAAGTGTTTGCAGCGCAATAAATAAAAGCGTTCACGCCATTTTATTCATACGGCTGTATGTATATGTGTGTAAGTTGGACGTAATACACAGAAAAGAAGTAATTGATTTGTGCATCTCACTCGTATAAAAATATTGACGTCTATCTTCTGTGCAGTGACCGATTGCAATCGTTATTTGTAACTGTTATTTGTAAAGAAATATTGCAAATAAGCAAGAAGCTCCCGTCGGCGTCTAAATTATACATGGCTTCCGTAAACAGCAATCTTTTTTCCAAGGGAGATGGGCTTCGGCGAAAAGATATCGGTCACATCGATTTATTTGCAGTGGTGCCGCATGCACTTTCTCGCTTCGGCCAGACTGACGTCGGTCGAGCAATTTCGCCGCAACAGGAACAACGTTTTCCCATTTGGCAATCCGAAACCGAAGACGGTGCGGCGACGTCGTCGTTCCCCGTGAATTTTTCACCCGATAAATCTGTCGTCGCCAGATTCCGCGCTACGCGGGAATAAGTAATGATGTTCGCGAAGCAGAGGTTTCCCCACTTATCTCCCTTACACCGAGAACTGCGAGAACTTAAGTTTACGCTTTAATGCTTGCTATAGATTTTCTATAGCACTTCCATATAGACTTCGCAGATGTCTCTAAAGTTTTGTAATTAAACAAGAAGTGCACCTTTAATCATGTAGGAAAACATTCTTCGCTGCAGCATGAAGCACTGTTTAATTCTTGAACTTTTTGCTTTTTTAACACAAATATCGATTAACTCTGCAAAGAATTACAAGCGAAAAATTGTATGATCAATGTTGCTTTAAACGTTTACAATTTATTATAAAATGTATATCGTATCTCAAATTTGCAAATAATATATCATATATGTCATTCTTCAAGCAGATAAAAACGCAGAGAAAGTTCTCAATTTTAATTCTAAAGAAAAAAAAATGTCATTTTTAATCAGCATATAAAAAAATTCTATCTGTATCTTTGTGAAGCTTGTCAGTCACAAGATGGATCTCGCTTGAAGAGGAATGATACAGTACCGCGTATATCATACGAAAAGACTTTTCCAGAGAAACGGCGATGCCAGAAACTGCTTTTAAGATGGTACGAAGTTTTCCCTTTTCTGAGATGGGCACTGACACAGTTCTATCGAATTACCTACCGAAGCCAGGAAAGGCTGTTCGAGCTGTGCTATTTATTGTGAAAGAAAGCAAACGGTTCGATGACTGACATAGAAAACAGGCTGCGTATTAAGTTCGCATGCGACATACCGCATTCGCTGCTTATTATAACGGATATTGGTGACCACAAAAGTGACGTCTCGTTCAACCGACGTCACAATCTTATATCTTATATAAAATTTTCAGACTGCTTTTATCGCGGATTTTCTTAGGTGAACTGTTTAGTCACATGAGACATTGTACAATATTTTGATGTGGTACGCACTTTTTTAAAGCCAAATTTCAATTCTGCGCACACAAAATTGTAAAAACTACTCTTCCTTTTTACACAACAGGAAAAATATCTAATTGTGTGCACCAATATTATTCATCATTGTAGAAAATAAGACATGACATTCTCGTCAACCGACAGAGGATCGTTCTAATGGTGAGAAAGAAGAACTCACGCTGATTACAGCCATCAGAGAGACTTGCAGCTAATAATTTTCTAGAAGAAACTAAGTGG